GTGCACATGACTCGCTCAGCGCCATAATATAGGCTCGTGGAGTGTGCATATAGCGCCAGCAATACGTTAGTGAATCGTATTGCGCTGTCACTTCGGGATCAATTGCGAATATCAGAAATACGACGAGACCAATCGCTAGACTTGTAATCGTTAGCACCTGAAATTTGCAAATTATTCGATTTTTAACGGTAAATTCGGAAAATTTCTTGGGAATTTGGTTTCCCGGCTGCAGTTCAGGCATATTTTCCGGAAACTATTAAGCAATCAGCAAAGATTTTAGCGAAATAGTGGATTACCTATTCCGCTAACTTCCGCTAATTAGCTGAACTTTCCAGTCTCTGGTCAAAATCCCCCCATACATTCACTCTGCTCACCTTACACAAAAGCACAACATATCGTCTGTTTTTCCTCGCCACAATGCTGAGCCGATTAATCGATAGCACAAATATCAAACATATCATGCAAATCCATGGTGGCTCGAAGAGAGCACCCGAAATCTGAAATTTTTTTCTGATTTTGACGATATTTTTGGTCTATTCTGCAATTTTAGGTCGGAACCGTGCGGAAATTTTCAAATTCAGGTTGCGCACTGAACTGAAGGGAGTGGCAAATATAACTTGTGGTAAAACCTAGAGCAGAAGGATTGGAGGCTGGGCCAAGGGGGCGGGCGGCGGGGTCGATGGGCTGGGGATCGGGGTCAGAGGTTAAGGGTGAGAAGTGTATATAGGCTCGCACTTATCCGATACCGGGTTCACTTGAAATCAACTGAATCAAGGGATGAGATCTGCCCGCCTGCCTTACCTTCGCCGAAAATCTGCCATTCGGTGGCCATATGGTCATGAAGCCAGTCATGAAATCTGCAAACAGCTGTATGCCATCCAATATACAAATCAACAATATCAGCTGATAGCATTGCATATGACGCATTGACGCTTGCAAAGAAATCATCTNAATATACAAATCAACAATATCAGCTGATAGCATTGCATATGACGCATTGACGCTTGCAAAGAAATCATCTAAAAAAATGTTCGGATTAAACGTTTAAAATTTGAAGATTTCGGTCATCACAAACAAAAAATGAGATCTACTTGTAAGATTTCTACAAAATTCACTAGATTTTTGGTATGTTTTTTTTTAGAATTTTTGATCTAGACGATTGGGATCGCTCATCTGAACGGACGGAGCTCCTCAACTGAGCAGACGGGGCTCCTCATCCGGTCCCAATGAGGCGCCTCAACTAGTCCGGACGATTTCTAAACGAAATTTTTGATTTTTATGGCCAAATCGAAGAGATTCAATCACTAGAGATCAAATGTTTCCAATGCTTTTCATAACTATTCTCTAATCTCACCGTCTTTCCAAACTGTTTGATCAACTCGATCAATCAGTGCAGGTGCACAATTTCTCAATGAAAACACTGCCATTTTTTCGCGTATATTTCCAATCGCTTGGTTGGACTTTGGTGAAAATTTTGCATTTCTCGTCGAATTTTGTCGAAGTTTCAATCCATTCACTTTCTCTTGGAATTTTCCCAT